CTTTGATTTCTTTGGTAAACTTGACCCTTTGGGAATCTGTCAGAGGTTTTTGTTGTTCTTCAATACTTTTAAAATCCAAAACTTCACAAACAAACTCGATGACTGGCTGTGCCTTGTAGAACGCCGTTGCCGAGACTGGAGGCGGGAAGAGACACAGGCAGGGGCGTGACGGGGTCGCCCACCGCGGGCAGGCAAGCGGCACCTGCGCTCCCCCCTCACTGACCGCAAAGCCCACCCTCGGGCCTTGGAGGCGGGCAGAGCCGGCGGTTCACGCCTGAGAGGCTACTGGAGGCAACCGTCACCCTTGGAGACGGACACCCCAACATCACGCCCATGAAGGCTGGATTCCCGACCCTCCAAGGCAGGGCTCTCTGAGGTGACAGCCCTGGGCACAGCCCGAGAACCACCAGGAGACGAGGGGACAGGCAGTGGGAGGTCCACTCATCCCCCCAGAAAACCCCATCCTGCCCTACGGACGCGGCCTCTGGGACCTTGTTAGATGCGGGCCCTGTGGGTGGCTCCTCCGCGAGGACCACGCCGACCGCCAGGCAGGGGACACAGGCGGAGACACAGCAGCTCGCCTCTGTTGGGAGCCGGCCGGCCACACGGGCCCTTCGAGGTCACGGCCCCAGCAAGCCCCACCCAGCCCCACAGTGAAAACGAGCCCTGCTCACCATCAATATTTAGCATCATTTTCCAAAGAGAAGGGCGGACGGACTGATGGAAGCCGAACCACACTTCCCGGCCGCCGCCCAGGGGGTTGGAGCAGCCCTCGGAGGCGGTGAAAAAGGAGCGGCCCACGGGCGTGTACCTGCAACCAGAGACCCGCTGAGCTCGCGGCTGCGCCACCTCCCGCCCAGCGAGGTCAGGTGGCGACTGGGCGGGGACGTGACCACAGAATAAAGCAGATCTCATCACGCCCGGGCCCTGAGCCCCGACAGGCTCCTCCAGGGCCGCCCCGTCCTGTGGAGCGAGGGCTCTACTCCCCTGACAAGTCCCAAGTGTGGAGGCCACAGGGAGACGGTGGAACGGCGGGCTCAGGCCCCGCAGAGTGGAAACCGCAGCTGCGCCCCACGCGGGGAGGGGGGCCCTGCTGGGCTGGGAATTCCCGGGAATCTCTTTCGCATTAAAAATGTCCCCCCGTTAGCACTGCTGGGCTTGCACGACGCAAATGCACACGACGGTCCCAGGGGACCGGGCCAGCTCCCCGCGCCCGCCGCGGCGGGCCTCACCTCATGGACGGCAGGTGCCTCATGACCACGTCGAGGGCCTGGATCGTCTCGAAGGGGACGCTGGGCAGCCGCCCCGAAAGTGCATCGTGTAACGCCTGCAAGCTCACGCAGGACACCCACTTGATGGACACCTTGAAGATGCGGTCCTTCCCTTCGCCCGGCAGCGTGACCTCCAGCTCCACCTGGGGGCCCAGAGCGCAGGTCATCCACGCGGCCCCCACCCCACGTCAGAGGGGGTCACGCGTAGCCCGGGGTCGGGTCGGCTCCTCTGAGGAGCGCGTCCCCGGAAGAGGCAGGGCGGCCTGCGGGGGCCCTGGGAGTTCTGTCCCCCACGGAAACAACCGGCGGCGAGCTCTGCAGGGCCCGAGTCGCGAAGAGAAACCCTCCCCAGACGGACGTGTGGGCGTGGAATCCGACCTGCCCGCCCGGCTCAGTGGTTGAGCGTCGACCTAGGAACCACTGATGCTTCTCTCTCCCTCTCCCTTCCTCCCTGAAACCAATATAAATATATATGTTTCTTAAGAGAGGAACCCGACCTATTTTACCCCGAGCTGTGCTCCCAACTTCTATGGGGGCACGTCTCACATTGGAACAGCGTGGGGACTCCTCCCCGAAGGAAAGTGGGGACTCCCCCCCGCTGAAGGAAAGTGGGGACCCCCGAAGGAAAGTGCTCCTGAGCCCCTGGCGCAGCGATGCACAGGCAGACGGCTTTCCTTCTCACTTTAACCAAAAACAAGTGTCAAGTCAAACGCGAAGCTCTCATCAATGAGTCTCCAACGTTCCGCTCGTTGGTTTGCAGGGCGCCTCCCGCGCTGGCGGGCAGGGACCTGGCACCCCCAGTGGGGACACCGGGCCATTGCCCCGTGCCAGGGGTGCCCGTGCTATCCGAGCCACCAGCCTTCGGCACGGAGCCTTATCACGAGGCGCCCTGGCCCAACGCCTCTCCTCTTATCGGGCACAGCCCCCACCGGAGCCGGAGCCGCCCACGGGCGCAGGAGCTGTCTCCTTAGGGTGACCACTAAATGCACAGCAAACACTGCGAGCCAGCCGGGCACACGGACAGCGGGCAGCAGGCGAGGCCTCCGCGCTGAGCCGCCCCCGCGGGGACACCTTCTAGGCAGGAACTTCACCATTTTTTAAACAGCCACTCGCCCCGGAGCAGGACACAGACGGGAAGAGAGGGCGGCTGCGAGCACGCAGGCCTCCCGTGTCTGTCACTCCGGGTGAACCACTGGCTACAGGCGAAAGTCAGCCTTGTTTTACTGCCACGGACAAGCACACACACACAAACACACGCACACGCACACGCCTACAGCCGTGCGGGCACCTCTCCTCAGGCGTCACCACCCCCGGGGCCACCGGGCTCCTGTCTGCACACCTGGGGGCACCTGCCGCGTGGGCCTGTCTCACATGGGAAAGCCCAGTGGTTTCAAGACCGTCTCAACTCCTGTCTCCCAGGGCCCCGGGCGGCGTCCTGAGGGCCAGCGCGCTCCCCCGGGG